ATGAGAGTAAGTTGAAGATGCAAAATGGAAATTTATTGTTTTTTCATCGGTAATTCGATTACATTTTACATTACAGAATGGTTAAGCCGACCGGGACGTTGCGAACGTGACAATCCCGATTGTGTTAATTACAAACCCATCAAACCTCCAGAGAAATCTCCAAGCAAATTTTCAATCAAAAATATATTTGGTGGTTAGGCTGCTATCGATAATAAGCTAAAAACAATAAGTGTTAGACATAATTGTAATAAATAAATTCGGAATGGATTTGATGGCTTTTATTTTATGGATTCTGATTTATTGTATAATTACACTTTAACTATAACAAGTAAAAAATCAGTTAAGTTCGGCCGAGCCGAATTTTTTATACCCTCCACCATTTGAAGAAAACTTGAAAAATTTCAAAAGAGATTCCGTCGAAAAATACCGCTCAAAACCGCTATATTGGGGCTATACGAAGATGTGGTCCTGCAAAAGTAATTTGCGTCATAGGTTGTAGTAACGTTTGCGAAATTTATATACGAAATTTGAAGCAATTCCGTTGAATAATATCGCAAAAATTATGAACATACGGAATATCGTTATATGGGCACTATACTAAAACGTGGAACTATTTATACAATTCGCTTCTAAGGGTAAAAGTACTCAGAAGGAACCCCTTGTGTGGATTTTAAGAGTAATCCATTGAAAAATTTGACTGAAATCATAAAAATACCGAATATCGGGGGATACTGTTATATGGGGGCTATACGATATCGTGGACCATTATAGAAAATTCTCTTCCAGGGTATAAAGGCAATATTTTCAGGCAATTCCATTGAAATATGTGGCAAAAAATTATGAAAATACCGAATATCGGGGGTGTATCGTTATATGGGGAATATACGCTATCGTAGACCTATATAGATAATTCTCTTGCAGGCGATGTAATACTAACAAGGAACTCCTTGCAAAATGTGGCTCAAATCATAAAAATACCGGAAGGGGAATATACGATATCGCGGACTTATATAGACAATTCTCTTTCAGGTGGTAAATTTCTCACAAACAACTCCATATGTAGAATTTCAAATAATTTCATTGAAAAATGTGGCTAAAATCATCAAAATTCCGATATTCGGTTATATAGGGGTCATTCGATATCGTGGACCAATACAGCCTGTCTTCGAATTTGGCCTGCCTGCAAACAATAGACAGATCTATGCAAAATTTTAGCTTCCTATCTTAATTCGTTTTGACAGTAGCGTGATAACAACAGACGCACAGATGGACGTACGGACAGGGCCAAATCGTCTTAGAATTTTACGCTGATCAAGAATATATATACTTTGTTGGGTTTAACATTTTTATTTTGATGAATTACAAACGGAATGACGAACTTAATATACCCTACATACTGTGTATGGTGGAGGGTATAAAAATGACACTGCTACAATCTTTAATATTAGAAGGTCACTTGTTCAACCCCTTCATCAGACAAATAAACTCACGAAACAAAAGAGTGTAGTGTGGTGAAATTGAACACAAATTCAACTCTAGTACTCTAAAAATATAGCGACTGATTTTTTTTAAACTTCTTATGATAATGGTTGGTAAGCCCCCAAGAAATTTTTCTGAGTATTTCAGATTTGTATAACTTTTTATAGTCGGTGGCTATAATCTCATTATAGCAACAATACTGTTTTAACGAGATAGAACGAATTTGTCGGTTCTGCCGACAGATAAATATACTTAGCCTATGACCATTTATATATGTAAGTTTACAGCATACCACTATATGCAATAAGGCATGGTTTGTATTACACTGTGCAGCACAAAAATAAGTATAGGGAAAATATAACGAACTTTTAATACCCTCCACCATTTCGAAAGAACTTAAAAAATTTCAAAAAAACAAAAATGCATTGAATATACATCTTAAACCCCTTATATGGGGGAGGGGGGGGGGGGGGGTATATGAAGACGTGGTCCTTCATATATAATTTTTTTTCAGAGGCTGTAGTACCGATTCCGAACTTCTAATTCGGAATTTGAAACTATTCCCCTGAATAACGCCGCAAAAATCATCAAAATACTGAATATCGGCAGATATCGTTATATGGGGGCTATACAAAGACGTGGAACTGCATACTCAATTTTCAGTCGTAGGCTGTAGTAGCAAATACGAAATTTAAAACAATTCCGGTGAATTATGTAGCTTAAATCATCAAAACACCGAATATAGGAAGGTACCGATATGGGGTGGCTAAACGAAGACGTGGACCTGCATAGACAATTTTATGTCACATGCTGTATCCATTATAGAGTAAATACGAAATTTGAAACCATTCCGGTGAATAATGTAGCTAAAATCATCAAAATACCGATCAGCGTAAAATTGATCAGCGTAAAATGCTAAGTCAATTTAGCGATTCCAGTCTGTCTGTTGAAATCACGATAGAGTCCACGTTATTTAACCTAGATTATTGACATTGGCACAGAGATTTATAATAAGCAGCCTGATTGGTATTGCAAATGTGTTATATGGGTCCCATATAACGGTACTTCCAGATTTTCGATATTTTAAAGGTTTCGCCACAATTTCAAACGAAATAAGCTCAATCTTTACATTTAGGATTCTTGGTATGTCTGTTATCTCCCTGCAAAAAATATTCGTTACATGCCAACTAATTGGTATAGCCCCCATAAAACGGTTTCTCCTCATTTGCGGTACTTTCAAGTAATCCTAAAAATGAATTTCAACAAGTAAAAAACATTAAGTTCGGCCGGGCCTAACTTTTAATACCTTCCACCTTAGGGTAATGGAAACACTAGAACCAATTATGACCGACAAATACCGATTTTTAATGGAAAATGTTGCAAAAATCATCAAAATACCGAATATCGGGAGGTACCGCTATATAGGGCTATACAAAAGCCTGGACCTATACATACAATATTTCTTCAACGGAGCTAGAACTCATTATGACAGAAAAATTCCAATTTTTAGACAAATCCGCGATAAAATGTGACAAAAACCATCAAAATACCGAATATCGGAAGATACCGTTATATGGAGGCTATACCAAAGCGTGGACTTATACATACAATGTTTCGGACCCATTATGACCTACAAATACCAATTTTCAGACAAATCCGTGAAACCAGTAAAGAAAGTTTTAAGTCGGGCGGGGCCGACTTTTTGGTACTCTACACCATTTTGCTAATTTATTAGAGCTCCACAAAACAACAAAAAGTTGTTATGGGAGAATTCAATCATACACGCTATGATTATAATTATAATTTAAAGTTCAAAAGACTAAATATGCCGAAGCATTTGTATCTTTCAAATTCGGACTTGTATTGCCTATTTTATATATATATGGGAGCTATATCCAAATCTGAACCGATCTTGATAAAATTTGTCAAAGATATTTCTGAGCTGTATTTCATATATTTCCCTGAATATCGTTGTTACGGAGTGCATATTACGGCTGTGAGTAACAAATATAACAAATCGGATGAACAATATATATGGGAGCTATAGCTATATTTGAACCGATCTTCACCAAATTTGACATACCAGCTTCTAGACTTAATTCGGTCGTAATTTCATCCCATTTGAGCAAATATTAGACGTTTAGTGCACAATAAAAGATAAATCGGACGAAGTTATCTACGGGATATATATCCAAATCCGAACCGATCTCGATAAAATTTAGCAAAGGTATTTCTGAGCTGTGTTTGATATATTTCCCCAAATATTGTTGTTACAGAGTGCATATTACGGCTGCGGAGGACTAAAATAACAAATCGGATGAACAATATATATTGCAGCTATAGCTATATCTGAACCGATTTGATCAAATTTGGCATACTTATTTTCAGGCCCAATTTGGTTGTGTGTGCAAAATTCCATACTATTCGGGCTGATACTACACGTTTGGTGCACAATAAAAGGCAAATCGGACGAAGATATATATGGGAGCTATATCTAAATTGTTACCGATTATCTCGAGTTTCAAAGGGGTTCGTCTTTGGGCCAAACAAATGATTTATGCAAAATTTCATCTGGATCGGGTAATAAATGCGAACTGTACTTTGTTCACAAAAATACATGGACAAACGGACGGACATGCATAAATCGACTCAGAATGTGATTCTATGCAGATCATCAACTATGGAACTATGGGTCTATCTCGTTTCCTTTTGCCTGTTACAAACAAATGCACAAAGGCATAATACCCTGACCAAATTGTGGTGTAGGGTATAAAAATGTGGTAAAAATCATCAAAATACCGAATATCGGGAGGTACCGTTATGTGGGGACTATACCAAAACGTGGACCGATATATCTCATTTTCAATACCTACCATCCTAGACACAATATAAATAATTCTGCTAAATTTTGACGCTCTTCGTCAAATAATGTGGGCTGTATCGTTATTTCAACAGACAGACAGACAGACAGACAGACGGACATCGTTGAATCGTCTTAGAATTTTATGCTGGTTATGAATATATATACATTATGGGGTCTATGACGAATATTTAGGGATGTTACAAATGGAATGACAAAGTTAATATACCCTCCTTTCCAAGGTAGAGGGTATAAAAAACAGATTTCAAGGAATCTTAATACGAAAACATTAACGTGCTGGATTTTCCATGTGATTATTTTATGTATAGCACATTGTAATATAAGGTTAATCTCGGCTGATTTTTAAAAAATTTCCGTATTTTTAAAGAAAAAAAATGTTAATGGAATTGTCAGAAGGTCTATCTTCATTCCTGCACAGAAGTGCATCAAAAAGTTTTCCTTCTCAAAACATTATAAAGTCCTAAAATATAATTTGAGAATAAAAAAACATCTGTAGAAAATTCTTGGAATTATATAATATTTATTAAATCGTAGTATTGTTCATCATTTAAAATTAAAACAATAACATTGACACAAGTGTTTCTCCAATCTGGCGGAAAACAAATTTCATAAAAGTGATTTCCTTAAAAAAATAATAACCTAATTTTTTTTCGATGTAATGACAACCTATTGTTAATAATTGATATAAATAATTTACAAACTTCGTTGGGAGATCAGTGATACCTGGAAACCCTGAAAAATCAGTGATACTTGAACTAAAGAAAAATCATGAAATTCGTAGCATCAATCGCGTTGGCCATACTTGCCTTATTGCTTGCCGTTGCCATTGGGGAAGCTCGAACATGTCAGAGGCCCTGTACTCGAGAATATAGGCCGGTGTGCGGCACCCTTAAGGGGCGTGGTGGGGTCATAGCCCGTTGTACATTTGGTAATCTGTGCACCTACGAAGTGAATAAGTGCTTGAGTCGTTTGCGTAAGTATAGATCGGATATTTTAAATGTTTTAAAATCTTTAATCGAAATTAATTTGCTTGCAGCTTGGACACACAAAAAGGGAGCATGTCAAACTCAAACCAACAATTGCAAAGACATTGTAAGGCAATAGTTTATTTTGGATACAATTATGTGAATACGTAAATTTATCTTTGGTTTGAAATGTAAAAATTGGAAAAAAAAATATATTGAATATATTTTGAATAAATTTGGCTATACATTCAATTTTATATAGGGTTTTACCGCATAAATGCTAACAAGTAGTCAAAAGCTGGGTCAACTATATAGTACCTCATTGCAATTACCTCCAAGAACTGATTAGATCGTGTTGAATTACACTGTGTGACACAAAAAATAATTAGAGGAAAAATCCACCAGAATGTTAAAGTGTTGCTAAAAATAGACTTCACGTGTATCGGTGTTTTGAATGTTTACATCGTAAAGTAGTATAAACAGAGAGTACAAGTTCCCCCCTCTTTCACTTTTTTTTGAAATTTCCAGTTTCTGATTTCTTCACTAAAGGGTCCTTTTGGTCCTTTTTTAAAATATGGTTTAAAACTACCTTTATACGGGATTGTAAGAAACCAAAATATTTCACAAAAATTATTTATCACAAAATTAATTCTACAATTTTTATACCCTCAGCCATATGGCTATAGATTGTATATATCATTTGATACGGAAAGTCGAAATTTTGAATATCCATTAATCTCATAAAACATGAGATTAACAGTCGATTCCATTTTGACTTGGCACATCTGAATATTTCCATCAACAGGAATCTGTTATAAAAACGGTTGAGATCGGACCATTTCCTCTGGTACCTCCCCCACACAGGGTTCAAGATTTTGAAAAACAAAACGCTCAAAGAAAGCGAAATAAGTTTTTAACTCTCCTCAAATTTCACACATACAAAAAATTTTTGCTAATACAAGATCTGTTGTGAAGATGATATATATCTGCGAGCTCTTTCTAGTACCTCACCTACAAAGGGTCACAATTTTCAATACGTTTATCTGTCATAACTTGCGAAACAAGTCAGCGATTCTTTACAACTTGCTATGTCTAAATATTACTCTCAACCAGAAACCTGAGATGAATATGGAATTTATGATTTCCCATAAATTGGATATAAATGTTCGATTTTTTTGTAATTTTGCCCATACCAATATTTTTATACGTATTAGATGAAGCATGAAAATGGAATACTTCGGTCGACTATACCTGGTACCTAAAGCACACGTTAAAATTTTCTAAAAATTATTACATGTGTCATACTCAGCTGTTTACTTTTTATAGTTTTATTGAATAAAACTACCCCACTTTCTCTGGAATAAGAAAATAAGCAGCAAGCATTAAAAATTGTATAACACAACGATTTAAAATAATCCTATTTTGAGAAAGATAGATTGAGATTTAATGTAATTTTTTATGTTTGTGATGCAGTACATTAATTAAAAAAGCTCTTATTGAATATGAATTCAAGTGCTATGTAAACGTAATAACAAACATTTTACATTTTCCGCCATCTATTATTTATTTCCCAATCAAATATGTGAAGTACAGACACGACCACAATTTGTGCTGAGTTAGTTTACAAATGCTATTAAAAGATGGCGCCCAATAGTTGTAATCATCGTTCCACCAGTTTTTGTTAGGTCTTTTTATACCCTCCACCATTGTAACTCCTCGAAATATACATTTCAGACCCCACAAAGTATATCTATTCAGGATAAGCATAAAATTCTAAGACGATCTGGCGATGTCCGTCTGTCCGTCGGTTGTAATTACGCTATCTTTTGAACAATATGGTATAGAAGGCTAAAATTTTGCATACATGCATAGTTTACCAGTAGGCAGGTTAAGTTCATAAATGGGCCATGTTGGTCCATGTTTTCGTATAGCCCCATATAACGGTACCTACCGATATTTGGCATTTTAATGATTTTAGCGACATTATTTCAAATTTCGTATTTGAAGTTCGTAATGAGTACTACAGCCTTTGACAAACACTTTCGTATGCGGGTCCAAGTCTTCGTATAGCCCCCATGTAACGGTACCTCCCGATAGTCGGTATTTTGATGATTTCAGCAACATAGTTCAGAAGTTCGTTTCAAATTTCGTATTGGAATATCTTGAAAGGTACTACAACCTATTGCAAAAAATTTTGTATGCAGGTCCACGTTTTCGCATAGCCCCCATATAACGGTACCTCCCGATATTCGGTATTTTGATGATTTTAGCGACATTATTTACCGAAATTATTTCAAATTTCGTATTTGAAGTTCGTAATGGGTACTACAGCCTATGCGAAAAACACTTTCGTATGCAGGTCCACGTCTTTGTATAGCCCCCATGTAACGGTACCTCCCGATAGTCGGTACTTTGATGATTTCAGCAACATAATTCACCATATCGTTTCAAATTTCGGATTGGAATATTCGTATAGCCCCCATATAACGGTACCTCCCGATATTCGGTATTTTGACGATTTTAGCTACATTATTTACCGGAATTATTTCAAATTTCGTATTTGAAGTTCGTAATAAGTACTATAGTCTATGATAAACACTTTCGTAACGGTACCTCCCGATATTTGGTATTTTGATGATTTTAGCGACATTATTCACCAAAATTGTTTCAAATTTGGTGTTTGAAGTTCGTAATGGATACTAGAGCCTATGACAGAAAAATGTCTGTGCAGGTACACGTCTTCGTATAACCCAAATATAGCGATACCTCCCTATATTCGGAATTTTGATGATTTTAGCTACATTATTCACCGATTTTTTTATGTTTCGCATTGAATATTTTAATGGTATATGACAGGTCCACGTCGTCGTATAGACCCTAATATAGCGGCTACATACGGTATTTTTACGATTTTAACAGAATTTTTAACGGATTTTATTTTTTTTGAAAATTGTCAAAATCGTTCCAAATGGTGGAGGGTATTCAAAGCTTAATACACGCACTAAATTTTCAAACTTTCAACATGTTTTATATTCTTCAAGTTTTTCTTTTTTTCAGATAAGTCGTCAAAATCTTTCATTTTAAAGTTAAGCGAGGAGGATATTGGTAAAATCATGGCACAATGGATCCTTATCTATTTTTTTCGAATTGTACCAAATATAGTACTGTTTAGTATTTTTATGAACATGTTCACATTTTCAAAGCCACCTATAGGGACGCCAATACAAAATTTCAAAATTCCAACTTCATCTGTTCTCCCTAGTCCAAACTGACTTTTTCAAAACGACCTTCCATATTGATGCTCATACCAAATGTCAAGTTTTTAGCTCTACTCTTTCTTATAATACCAAATAGTACCATTTTAGGAGTTTAGTACCATTTTAGAACTTTTCGTAATCTTAAAGTTAGAATTTTCAAAAACTCTTTGGTACATCTATTATGCACTCCACCAGTGACTCTCGTTTAAAATGTCAGAATTCCAACTCATTCCGTTTGTCCAATACCAAGTATTACATTTTTAATACTTTTCGTAACCTCTTAGTACGAATTAACTCGCGTGCAAAATTTTTTCCTTATGGTAGGTCTTTGGAAAAAAAATTTTTTTTCAAGAAATTTGGAGTCGATTTAGCAATGTCCGTTTGCTGCCTGATGGTGTCCCGCACTCGAAATGAGAATCCGATTCAGTTCATGCTGTGCACAATATTTCTATAAATGTCAGGTTGGATAGAAATTAAAGATTAATAAAAAATAGAAATTTAAAAAAAAAAAATAATTTATATGTCTCTCTCTGTCTGTTGTAATCATCTTTCGAACAAATTAAGAAAGAAGGTACATATTTTGCGTGAAGTTCGTAAAAGGGTCAATTCGGTTCCCGTTTACACCCCAATTAATCTTTAAAGTCATTGAACTAAAAGAAAGATAGAAAACCCTACACGGGGTTTGGAACGTTTTATATTGTGTTCCCATTTTCAAATATTCTCAGCATAATAATGACGTCACACAATGTTAAGATTTTTATTTTATTTTTTATACATTTAATTATAACTGTTTTTCTGTGAAACCCCTCTTCTACGAAACATACCTACATACTCATAGAATATTAAACAAAAAATAAAAACTATTAATTATTGTAAACATACCGCCAGCGATTTAACAATTAGTATTTCTCTAACAATTACAACTGTAAACGCTAATTGATGGCGTGTTTACCCAAAGTGTTAGGGACTTTTTTTTTGTTAATTTTCAGTTTTGCCAGAGCTGACATGACAAGACTTGTGGATTGTAATAGAATAATTATTTGTAAAAAACAATGCAGATCATACGTTGAAATCCCTACCAATAATGACTCAATTAAAACTCACATTCACCTAAATGATACCGGTAAATGTTCTGTAACCAAATTACTTTAATTTTAAGTATTGATTTTACAAAGTTATTTGAATACACTACAATTGACCAACAATTTTTTTGTTCTTCAGACAATGAAAGTTGATGAGAAACAAATTTGATAGTCACACCCTACAAAATGCATAAATACATACATAGTATACAAAAAATAATAACAACGACATACATACCTTTTTCATTACCAATAAACTAAAATAGGGATATTCCTATAAAATGTACATGGTTCGAATCCCTTGGGAAAACTTTGTAAAAAATCAACATTCTTTGGTAAGAAATTTCTTAAACAAATTTAAACCCATATTTTTATTGGGAAAATCTCAAAATATTGAAATCAATAACATTTCAAAAAATTTACGATTTTAATTCTCACAAAGTTAATCTCAAACAATTTTTTGTACATATTCTACCGTTTTCAGTCTGAAGGTCCTAAAAATGTCTCTAAAATATTTACAATTCCCTTATATTTTGCCAGGGAAAAATAAGAATATTATTTTTTAGCAGAAATGCTTCAAAAAATAATCCTAATCGATTTAAAGTTTCAAATATTTTTAAAAGGTCCACAAGCCCAAGAAATGGCCAAGAAATCCTTGTTAAAATAATCTTAAGAAGTTGATTTTGCAAACCGCAGTTTTCTATTTTTTTCTAATGAAAAATATCATTTTTCTAATAAATACGAATTTTTCGATCACTCTGTTCTTACATTTGTATACCCTCAGCCATATGGCTACAGAGGGTACGATCAAACTATGTCTCATCGAAATCACGGTTTTAGACCATACGACTATTTGGAGCAAATCTCTCTGTCTGTCTGGCTGGTGCCAAAAGGAGAATTGGTGCCGAAAGGAGAATTTGATTTGGCCCAAACTTGGTACATCACAATATTATTATTAAACTTACCATTCCTTCTGGTACCTCCCCCACAAAAAGTCATCAAATGCATGTAATTTACCTCATAGAACACGAAAAGATCATTTATGTTTGTTTAAACTTTGCAAATCCTAATATTTTTTTCAGCGCCAGATCAGTTGTGAAAATCGACAATTTGGGTCCATTTTTTTAAGTGATTTTTAACTTTTTTTTATTTAAATTTTATTGAATTCAAACAAAAAATGTCGGAAATAGCATCAACCTTTAGAAAAAGTTTAGATTTGTTCGAATTGGTCAATTTGGCACGAATTATGGCCTTTAAACGGCCAATGAAACCATCACTGTCTGTATGTCTGTCTGAATGTAGCTCTGCGGTATTTTTGGCCCATTCCCGGAGAAGCGCTTCCTTGAGGCGATCGACACATTGGTATTTTTTAGTGCCAATCTTGCTTTCCAAAATACTCCAGACACAATAGTCCAACGGATTGGTATCCGGAGATTTTGGTGACCATTGTGCGCTGGAAATGAAGCGAGGAACCTCATTTTGTAACCATTCTTGGGTGGTGAAGTGCTGATTCCTGTTGGAATGTCCAAAGTCTGCGGCCAAAATGATTGCGTGCCCAAGGCATTAATACACCCTCCAGAATATTTTCGCGACAATATTCGGCATTTATTCTGATGCCACGGTCGATTAATACGAGTGGAGAGCGACCATCGGCTGTTTTGGCGGCCCACACTATGACCATGGCCGGCGCTTGAGTTCTGGTGGCCAACCGAAGGTGCACATATTCAGCTGACCTCTGCTGACTGCTGGGCAATGAATGCTTTCTCATCAGAGAAAACCAAATTCGGCAGTTCACCACTTTCGGCCAAGCGAAGCAACTCTTTAGCTCTTTTGAGTCTATTTTCTTTCTGTTGCGGTATAAGTTCTTGCACTTTTTGGAATTTCAATGGCTTTACCCCGAGCTCATTTTTCAATATTTGCCGAATGGAATATTCTGATATGTTCAGCTCACGAGCCATTTTTCGGAGGCTGCGACGCGGGTTTCGATCAAGTCGCTTCTTTAATTTTCGAACAATTTCTGCTGATGTTGCTGTTTTCTTCCGTTCACTTCCTGTGCAAAAAAATATATGTTTTTAATATTTCGACCTTTTGTGGGGGAGGTACTAGAAGTAGTGGACCGATATTGCCCATTTTAACACCAGACCTTGGGTTAATATAAATATTTGGATGTATGAAATTTGAAGGCAATTGGACTCTTACATCACATTTTATGAGAGTTGTAATTATTTAAAATGTTGACCCTTTGTGGGGGAGGTACCATAAGGAGTGGACCAATATTGTCAATTTTCGCACCAGACCTAGCACTGATGCAAATGTTAGGATTTGCAAAGTTGGAGCAAAATCGGATAATCGTTTCTCTTTCTGTGCAAAAAATATATTTTATTTTTGAAAAATTCGACCATTTGTGGGGGAGGTACCAGAAGGAATGGACCGATATATTTCATCATAACACCAGACCTTGGGTTAATATAAATATTGGGATGTGTAAAATTTGAAGACAATCGGACTCTTAAATCACATTTTATGAGAGTTGTAATAATTCAAAATTTTGACCATTTGTGGGGGAGGTTCTTGAAGGAGTGAACCGATATTGTCCATTTTCGGACCAGACCTAGCACTGTTGCAAATATTAGGATTTGCAAAGTTGGAGCAAAATCGGATTATCCTTTCTCTTTCTGTGCAAAGAATACATTTTTTGCAAGTTTCGACCTTTTGTGGGGGATGTACCAGAAGGAGTGGACCGATCTTGCCCATCTCCGAACTCGATCTAAGTTTGACAAAAATATTACGATGTACCAAGTTTGGACCAAATCGGATACTCCCTTCGAGAGTTATCGTGCGCACCAGCCAGACAGACAGACGGACGGACGGACATCGCTAGATCGACTCCAAATGTTCTGAAACGGATTTGGTCCAAAGAGACCTAGGGTCTAAAACCGTTATTTCGACTAGACACGTTTTGACCGTATCAAATGATATATACCCTCTGTAGCCATATGGCTGAGGGTATAATTAACTGACGCAGCTAGTATAGAAATAAAAAAATAAGAAAAAAAAAACAAGTATAGCGGCATGGAAGTCCATGAAAACAAGATTCTTGATAAGGATCTTTTTAACAAATATCTTACAAGCCCTTGGTCCTTGAAAAATATTTTTAAAATACAAGGTTCTTGGTCGGGTAGTCAAGGGTCAAGACAAAAAATTTTATTAACATCACCGAAAAAAATGATTTTGGACCGGTGAAACCCTGTAAAAATGCTGTTAAAAATTCATAATTTTTGTCCACGAGGATTCTGTAAAAAATATTGCTAAAAAGTCATCGGTTTATATAGCTAAAATTGTTTAAATAATATTTTAAAAAATCCCCAATAATTGGTTCGACAATTTTTGATAAATCCAGCAAAAAACGCATGGTTCATACGTAACCCGAGATTGTTTAAAAATTATTGTTAAAATAGCATACCCTCTGCTTGTTGTCATTTCTTATAGTAGTGAAAGTGGGAATTTATATAACCCCAGATTAAAGAGATATTAAAAACTTGTGCCAAAGAATTTGTCTCTTTAAGCAATGAAGAATAGTTTATGGGCTTTATAGGGCATTTTTAGTGTGCCTAAGACATCCTTTGAAATTCTTCTTTCAAATTGCGAAATTCATGATTCAACAAAAGTTTTGAATTGTACAACTATCTCTAGCCCTTCTTAAGCTTAACCAAGCCTACTTGAATTCATTTTGTGTGCGGTTGTTTGTGTGTTAACAAAATAACTAATATTCATATTTAGATAAGTACCGGCACCGCGACGATCATCAATCATTTCCCAACACCCGAATGGTGAATGAACAAATAAATAACACCTCATCACAATGCAGTTTCCAACACAGTCGGAAAATGCAATTATTCAGTTTCACAACTATTTTGCTGCTCGCTTTGGTCGCTGCCGTAGCTTTGGCACAACCGCCACCAAATTGTGCCAGTAACGTTGCCATTCTATGTTCCGCCGGTGGTGGACCTGCTGTTTATGCCAGAGATCCTCAGACTGGAGCTTGTACGAAATATGATAATCGGTGTCTCTTCAATGTCTTCAATTGCATAAAATATCGCGAGAATCAATCGAGTAAGTTTTAGCGTTTTTTTTTAATTGAGCATTTTGGTGTGAAGTCAGCCGGTGTAAATTTGTTTTTTTATTTTTTGTTTACAGCTTTGCAGGAGGTTGGCAGCTGTTAAAATGGCAAATGATTTCAATATGTTTTTCCATCTTAATTGAAGTGTCACATTGGTGATGGTATATAATAAATCTATTTTTTGATATTGATAAATAGAAGATTTTTGGGATTTATTTCAAGCGAAAATTTGGTTACAAAATGGAAATTAAAAAAATAACCTGAGATTCATGCAGGATTTTAATTTTGGGCTTTGATTTCCAAAGAATTTTTTTTGTGTTCAAGCTGAGCTATAATCGTGGATTTTTAAACAACATTTTTTCAAGGTTTAGCCGTGCTATATTCGTGGTCCACCGTCTTCCCACATTTTCAATGGATCAGACAACCTGCAATCATGGATTTTCAAACAATAATTTTTCCATGGTCTACCTGAGCTATGACTTGAGTTGCTTAACAATATTTTTTCGTATAATTGCTGAGCTATTAAAATGGATTTTCTTAATTTTTTTTCATAGACTATAAGGTATAATCCTTGATTTTTAACTATATTTTTCCATGGACAAGCTGAGTTATAAAAGTGGATTTTTGAATGATATGGACTATCAGATCTTAATCATGGGGTTTTAAGCAATGCATTTTTATGGACTAGCTGGTGTGTAACCCTGGTATTTTAAACATTACCTGTTCATGTCTAGCCAAGCTTTAATCGTGGATTTTTATACCCTCAGTCATATGGCTAGAGAGGAGGGTATATATCATTTAATACGACCAAAGCGTACCTCATTAAAATAACGGTTTCAGACCCTAGGTCTCTTTGTACCAAATCCGTTTCAGGACATTTAAAGTCGATCTAAGATGTCCGTCCGTCTTTCTGTCTGGCTGGTGCGCACCCTAAATCTCGAAGGGAGTATCCGATTTGTTCCAAACTTGGTACATCATAATATTCTTATCAAACATAGATTCAGTTTGGAGATGGGCAATATCGGTCAACTCCGTCTTCTAATTTTTTTTACAAAATTTTCAGAAAATATATTTTAATGTACAGAAAAAGGAACGATAATACAATTTTGCTCCATCTTTGCAAATTTTACTATTTGTATTAGTGCTATGTCATGTAAGAAAATGGGCAATATCATGAACCTTCCCCACAAAGGGTCAAAATTTTGAATAATTACAAATCTTAGAAAATGTGATTTAAGAGTCGGATTGTCTTCAAATTTCACACATCCCAATATTTTTATTAACCCAAGGTCTTGTGTAAAGGTGGAATACATCGGTCCACTCCTTCTGCTACCGCCCCCACAAAAGGTCGAAATTTAAAAAAATATATAGATTTTTTCTGCACAGAAAAATAGTCTATAATCTAATTTTGATCCAACTTTGCAAATCCTAATATTTACGTCAGTTCTAAGTCAGGTGCAAAAATAGACAATATCGGTCCACTCCATGAAGTTTCTGCCCCACAAAGGGAAAATGGGCAATATCAAGAACCTCTCCCACAAAGGGTCAAAATTTTGAATAATTACAACTCTTATAAAATGTATACAAGAGTCCGATTGTCTTCAAATTTCACACATCCCAATATTTTTATAAACCCAAGATCTGGTGTTAAGATTGAATATATCGGTCCACTCCCTCTGGAAATTTTGAATATCCATTATGCTCATAAAATGCGAAATTAACATCCGATTCCACTTAGACTTGGCACATCTGAATATTTCTATCAACATCTGTTATAAAAACGGTAGAGATCGGACTATTCCTTCTGGTGCCTCCCCCACAAAGGGTCAAATTTTTGAGTAAGCAAAATGTTTATAAAATCCGAAATAAGCATCAGGCTCTCCTTATATTTCACGCCTCCCATTATTTCTACTAACACAAGATTTGTTGTGAAGATGGGATATATCGGTCTACTGCTTCTAGTACCTCCCGCTCATAGCTCATAAAACGAGAAATTAACATCCGATTTCATTCTGACTTGGCACATCGCAATATTTCTATCAACACAAGATCTGTTATAAAGATAATAGAGATCGGACCATTTCTTCTGGTACCTCCACCACATAGGGTTCAAGATTTTGAAAAAAAAAAAAAACGATCAAAGAAAGCGAAGTAAGCATCCAACTCTCTTCAAATTTCTCTCACACAAACATTATTGCAAACACAAGAACCGTTGCAAAGATGATGTATATCTGCGAACCCCTTCTGGTACCTCACCCACAAAGGGTCACAATTTTCAATACTTATATCTCTCATAACTTGCGAAACAAGTCAGCGATTTTTTTATACCCTCCACCATACTATGGAGGGTATATTAACTTTGTCATTCCGTTCGTAACTCCTCGAAATACTCATGTCAGACCCAACAAAGTATATATATTCTTGATCAGCGTAAAATTCTAAGTCGATCTATCTGTCTGTCTGTCCGTCTGTCCGTCTGTCTGTTGTAGACGGAGATAGAAGGTAGTTGAGATAGAAGGTTAAAAGGTTAAAATTTTGCACACGTGTTTATTTTTCTAGTAAGCAGGTTAAGTTCGTAAATAGGCCATGTAGGTCCACGTTTTCATATAGCCCCCATATATAAGTACCTCCCGATATTCGGTATTTTGATGATTTTAGCCACATTATTCATCGGAATTGTTTCAACTTTGGTATTTGAAGTTCGAAATGGATACTACAGCCCATGACAGAAAATTATCTGTGCAGGTCCACGTCTTGGTATAGCCCCCATACAACGGTACCTCCCGATATTCGGTATTTTGATGATTTTAGCCACATTATTCATCGGAATTGTTGCCAATGTGGTATTTGAGATTCGTAATGGATACAACAGCCTACGACAAAAAATTGTCTGTACAGGTCCACGTCTTCGTATAGCCCCCATATAACCTCCCAAAATTCGGTATTTTGACGATTTTAGGTACAATACCCATCGAAATTGTTTGAGATGTCATATTTGAAGTTCGTAATGGATGCTACAACCTGTGACGGAAATTGTCTATGCAGATCCAGGTCTTCTCACAGCCTCCTCCCTATATACGGTATTTTGATGATTATAGCTACATTATTCACCCTTTATTTCAAATTCGTTCCAAATGATGGAGGGAATTCAAAGTTCGTCCAGGCCGAACTTACTGCTTTTTAACTTGTTTTTTCTCAATCAGAAGCCTGAAATGAATATGGAATTTGTAATTTCGCAAAAAAATGGATATAAATGTTCGATTTTTTTGTAATTTTGCCCATATCAATATTTTTATATTGGGATCTTACCCACATTTTCTAAAAATGATCACATATCTCATATAAAATGAAGGAAGTAACCAATATAGCCCAAGCCTGGTACGTCGCAATCATTTAGGTGTGATACGAAATAGACAATATTGGACCATTTCTTCGGAACCTACTCCATAGAGGGTCAAACATTTGAATAATCATGGCAGAAGCCAACATATATTTAAATATATATTTATATATATATATCAATGGCTTGCGTTTTTTTGAATTGGATTTTTAAACAACATTTGTTCATGAATAAGCTGAGTAATAGTAGTGGATTTTTGAACAATATTTCATCATGGATTAACTGAGAATCAATTTTGTATATTTACACAACACTTTTTTAAACGATGATTAAAAAAAAAATGTGCTAGTATCTGAGTTATAGTTCTGTATATTTCTTTAGCAAACAACAATTTGAGCAATTTTGTTAAAGAAATAAAAAAATCCCTTTTGTGTATTTTTTATTTTTTTTTACTTTTTTAATATTTGGGGACTTTTAGCTTTTTTTATTGATATTTTTATTGGTGTACCAATTGATAAGAGTTTGTGTTCTTCCCAGCAGCAGAGCTGATAATTTTAAAATTAAATTTAAAAAAAATCGTAGTATTTCAACATTTTCAAAATGAACTCTCTACGGCTCAGTATATTTCTCATAATCGCGCTATCCGTTGTTATGTTAAACTGCAATGATCACGACCTTCCCTATTCCTGTGGTATATTTGGTGCATTTTGTACGGCAACACGTGGTGTCCCCATATATGCTAGAGATCCGGAAACTGGACGGTGTGATAAATATGATAGCCTTTGCGTATTTGCAGCCCGATATTGTGATCGATTTTATGAGGGTAGACCGGGTAATGTTTTTTGAATACATTTCTGTATAGATGACTTATTAAGTTTGACATTTTTGCTATTTTAGTTCTGGAAGAAGTAAGTCGCTGTTAAAAAGGATAGATTTTTCTTATTAGAACACTGGAATGGAGAAGAGCTTTAGTCTGTGGGCCGATCGTGAATTGATTTATTGAAAAAATAATACGACATACACCGCCTTATTGAATGAAAAACATTTGTGTACTGGCATTTATTGATATCAGAATAGTTCCAAATTTTAGTCATTGACTGGAAACCGACTCATTTATATATGAAAGAAAGTGATGTTAGTTAGTGCGACTTTAACTCAAGAACTGATTTTGGATAATTCGCAACAATTTGGCATTGTCTCTTGGAAAAAAAGATTAAACCTAAAAAATCATATAAAATTATCCCAATTAAAATGTATATGAATTTATTACTGCTATATATATTTTTTGTATTTTTTTTGTCAGGTTTGATATTGCATGAAATTTTCTAAATTTGACTTATTATATTTTAATTTGGATCTAGCATTCCAGCAGCTACATTGATAGTATGAAAAAGTGGATATTTGATAAGAAAATAATATATGTTATCCAAAATGCATTTGAAATCTTTAATATACCTAAAATTGACGGGCTATATACAGGGTGAGGTGAAAAAACTGCAACCAACCAGACTGCTGTCATTTCTAAGCCACTTGTCCGACAACTGTTAAAATTATTCCAGGGACAGCTAATAACATTAGTTATTAGTACAAAAACATTCTGGTGAGAATTTTCCAGAAAAAAAGTTATTCGTGATGGAATTCAAGCGTGATAGTGTGATTTCTTTATATTTGGCTGGAGAACCACAAGTGGCTACCGTTAGAGCACTCCAGCATTTAAATGTGAATAAATCGTTTGTGTACGTACCATCGGTTGTTACCGTGATACTGGTAACGCAGCCTGACGTCAAGGAACACAGCAACATCAGCAGAAATGGTCCGAAAAGTAAAGTAGCAACTTGATCGAAACCCACAGTGGCCGAAAAATAGCTTGTGAGCTGAACATATCGCAATATTTCATTCGGCAAATATTGAAAAATGAGTTCGGGTAAAGCCATTGAAATTCCAAAAAGTGCAAGAACTTACACCGCAACAGAAAGAAAATAGACTCAAAAGAGCTAAAGAGCTGATTTGCTTGGCCGTAAGTGGTGTACTGCCGAATTTGGTTTTCTCCGATGAGAAAACATTCGTTGTTCAGCAGTTTGTAAACAAACAAAATGATCGTGTTTACTTGCCAAAGAGGTCAGCTGAGAATGTCGACCTTCGGTTGGCCACCAGAACTCAAGCGCCGCCCATGTTGATGGTGTGGGCCGCCATAACAGTCAATGATCGCTCTCCGCTCGTATTAATCGACCGTGGCATCAAATAACTGCCGAATATTATCGCGAAAATATTGTAGAGGGTGTATCAAAGCCTTGGGCACGCAAACATTTTGACCCAGACCTTGGACAATCCAACAGGACTTAGCACCATCGCAATCAGCACGCGCCACCCAAGAATGGTTACAAAATGAGGATTCTCGTTCATTTCCAGCGCACAATAGCCACTAAAATCTCCGGATATCAATCCGTTCAATCCGTGCCTGGAGTATTTTGGAAAGCAGGGTTGGAACTTAAAAATACCAAAGTGTCGATGACCAAAAGCAAGCGCTTCACTGGAAATGGGCCAAAATACCGCAGAGCAACATTCGGGCAGCTTGTGGCGGTTTCATTGGCCGTTTGAAGGCCATAATTCGTGCCAAAGGTGAGCAATTCGAACAACTATATAAACTTATTCTAAAATTTGATGTTATTTTCGACATTTTTGCTTTCATTCAATAAAATTTAAAAAAAATGTACAAATTATTGCGTTTGACTTTGTTGTAGTTTTTTATCTCACCCTGTAGATTTTTTCCTCCATAGTGAACAAGTATTAACAACAAGTATTTGGTATAGCCCCCATATAACGGTACTTCCCGATATTCGGTGTTTTGATGAATTTAGCGACCTTACGCACCGGAATTGTTTCAAATTTGTATTTTAAATTCCTACTGGATACTCTACAGCATATGACAGAAAATGGTCTGTGCTGGTCCACGTTTTGGTATAGCCTCCATTTAATAGTACTTAACTATATTCTGTATTTCGATAATTTTAGCTACAGTATTCACCGAAATTATTTTTCAAATTTCGCATTTGAATGTTGTAATGGCTTATGACAAAAGTTGTCTATGTAAGTCCACGTCATCGTATAGACCTTAATATAACGGCTACATTCGGTATTTTCAAGAGTTTAATAGTATTTGTAACGGATTTTATTTATTTATTTTTTTATACCCTCAGCCATATAGCTAGAGAGGGTATATTTCACTTGATACGGTCAAAACTTGCCTAGTCGAAATAACAGTTTTAGACCCTAGGTCTCTTTGGACCAAGTACGTTTCAGGACATTTGGAGTCAATCTAGCTATGTCCGTCAGTCCGTCCGTCTTTCTGGCCGGTGCACACCATAACGCTCCCTTCGATCCTTCTGGTACCTCCCCACAAAAGGTCAAAAAATATATATTTTCTGCACAGAAGGAGAAATGTCATTTGCGTCAGTGCTACGTTAGATGCGAAATTAGTCCCCCCCCACCCCCACAAACGGTCAAAATTTGGTATAATTACAACTCTTAAAAAATGTGATGTAAGAGTCCGATTGTCTTCAAATTTCACACATCCCAATATTTTTAGCAACCCAAGGTTTGGTGTTAAATTGGAATATATCGGTCCACTCCTTCTGGTACCTCCCCCACAAAAAGTTGAAATTTTCGAAAAATATTTGTTTGCACAGAAAGAGAAACGATAATCCGATTTTGCTCCAACTTTGAATCCTAATATTTACGTCAGTGCTAGGTCTGGTGCGAAAATGGACAATATCGGTCGGTTAGGTCGAAACTTTGAATATACATTAAGCTCATAAAACGCGAAATCAACATCCGATTCCATTTAGACTTGGCAGATCTGAATATTTCTATCAACACAGGATCTGTTCTAAAAACGGTAGAGTGTGGATCATTCCTTCTGGTACCTCCCCCGCAAAGGGTAAACATTTTGAGTACCCATGAAGCACATAAAACAGGAAATTAACATCCTTTTCTATTCAGACATGGTACATCTGAATATTGTCATCTACACCCTCAACCAGAAGCCAGAGATGAATATGGAATTTATCGGAATTTATGATTTCTCATAAAATTGGATATAAATGTTCGAATTTCTTGTAATTTTGTCCATACCAATATTCGGTCGACCATATCTGGTACCTTACGCACATTTTAACATTTGCTAAAAATTATCACATATTTCATACAAATTTAAGGAAGTAGTCGATATAGTCCAAGCCTGACACATCGCAATATTTATGTCACATTTATTTAGGTCCTATACGAAATGGACAATATTAGCCCATTCAGGCTCAACAGTTTGAATAATTATAACACAAGTCAAAATATATTTATGTAATCGAACATAGGCTGAGGGTATACATCTGTCGGCAAAACCGACTGATACTATTTTACTTTTTTTACGTTTACGTTTTTTTTTTTCAATTTCCAAATTCGTTTCAAATGGTGGAGGGCATTCAATTTTCGACCCGGCCGAAATTACAGCTTGTTTACTTGATTGAGTGTATACATAATTTTTGAGTTTATACATAAAACTTATAATACCCGCAACGCATAGTGTTGTAGGGTATACAAAATATAATAAATTTTGGTACATAAAACCGTTTTTATAATCGGCAAAATTGTATTCGCTCTAAATTAAAAAAAAATCACTTTAGAATGATGTTTTTAATGAACGAAATGTTCCACTGAAATTTTCGCTGTGAGTTACTGTCCAATTTTGTGACGTATTACGGTATCATTCTTACAGATACGCGTCTGGTATTAGATTAGAATTTTAACATAAATATTTTAAACATAGTTAGGAAATATTCAATGCCCAAAAACTTTATGATTTCGATGAAGTTCGGGATAATGTTTATGCATTTTAGGGATCCAATCAACAAAAATACTCGATGTGACCAATTTCCCATCGCAGTAGTCATAAGACTTCGGAAAGTTTTTAGTTTAGTTAAAAAATTAAACGAGTGACTTCATTTTTAATCCTCTAAAATTCCTAGCGATCTTGTCCAGATCTAGATCCTAAACGTAATTTTTAATGTCTACTACTACAAAGAGCTTGAAATATCTGTAAATATCTACAATCTAATAAATGTCTGCAGGGAGACTGTATGCCTTATTTCCCACCTTTCCCTTTTCGAGATCTTTATTATTGAATACATTGCAAATGTAAAACATTTCATTTAAAGCGGAAATTATCTGATTAACAGTTATAGCCTCCCAAAAACGAAATAAGTTAAATATTTTGTTTTTAATTCCTGCTAAATAAATAACTTATATTCCCCACCAAAGCCGAAGATTGCAACGAAATAACTTTTAATGTTACACCCATTTTGTTGAATTTGTTTCTGTTTTCTTTTGGATTAAATCAATTGACGTTACGTTACTCAGACATTTCAGCTGATAATGAACGGAATATTTAATAAGGCCACACAACAAAACCAACGTTAATGTGAGCAAATAGACCACATACTGCGTGCGATCCGTTTGGGACGGTATTTTTTGACTGACCACCTCATAGCATATTTTGACTGGTTGTCTGGTATTGTTGGTTCGTCAGTTGCCATGATATTGGCCACTTCCACATTAATGGATGGATGGCATCAAACAAAAGTGAGGTAAGAGTACTTTTTGAATTGAATAAAAAAAAGCGAGAGTACAATTGTTTCAAACATATTTGGCTTAATCTTCACGAATAAAATTTTATCAATCATTTTTATGATTTAATGCTGCATCATTGTAATGTTTGAAAAAAATGAAAATACAATTTCAAACTGGATAACGTTTTGTTAAAAAGATTAGATCGGCTAGCTACTTTTACTTTCAAGTGCCTTAATCGACATTGTGAAAGTTTCCGTACAATGGAATGTGAAGCTGTTCAACAGAGGGAATAATTTGACGGACTGTCAGATCAATAAGGGTGGGATTTTTTAAGAATATTTTAAGGGACTATCAGATGAAAATAATCTGGATCACTGAGAATATTTCTAAATTGACTATCCGATTAATAAACTTGGACTTTTATAAAAAGACTATAAACGTGTGGTATTTATACCCTACAACACTATGTGTCTGGGGTTTTAAAAGTTTGATTGGGCCAAAAATTATGTAACACCATCAAATATTGGTTTCCCACATAGGAAAGTATATATGGATCTTCCTATCTCGCCGAACCGAGTCAATATAGCTATGTATGTCCTTCCGTCCGTCTGTCCATGTTAATTTGTAATCACTCTACAGGTAGCAATTATGGCCCGATCTTCACGAAATTTAGAATGGAGTTGGGGCTAGGGTCAGAATAGGACCCTATTTATTTTGGAGATGATCGCATAATGTTGGACCGAAAACTGATTTTGCAGGTCGCAATTATCGACCAATCAAAGCGGAAGTTAGCATGGGGCTAGATCTTAGAGCTGGG